GCCCTACCACGGAGGCCTGCCTCAAGCTTGCTATGCCTGAGGTGCAATATTCAAACTATCTTTTGCGGAAGCAGAAGCGCCGAGGTGGTGTGCGGTCCAGGCCAGAACCAGTCCTGGACAATCCTCCCCCTCGACCCATCCGAGCGCTGCCCCGCATCTCCCAGGGTACCTGAGTTCTGTCTGCCTCCCTGAACCCAGGTCTTGCTCCATTAGGGCCCTTTTTTTCCCCCCACGGGCTTGAGCCCTGTGTCCAAATGGAGGTGCATCTGCATCTGAGCCTGCCACCCCAGTATTACCTGAACCCCAATTTCTGGGATGGCATTGATGAGCCACCCACTCCTTCCCAACTGGTTGGTGACTTTGACAAGAGATCCAGGGACATTCCAGTACTGCCCACCCTGCCTTTTTCTGGGGAATGAGCACCCCGCCTATCTTTTGGGGGAGCCGAGTCCCCACCTGTGTGAAGTGGATGACCACAAGCCCTGGAGAGGGACCAAGTCCTGTGAAAACACCGTGCTTCCAGTTAGCAGCTGGGCTTTTGTTCTTCTGGGGGCTACAGAGGTCCCCTACTGTCTTCCAGGTTCTACCTTCCCTATACATCTAAGCTGCTCCCAGACACCCAGAACCAAGAGTTCTTGGGTTGGGCTTTTTGTTTGTTCTTCCTCCTCCTCCTCTTCTTTTTTTTCTTTTTTAATAAAATGACTCTAAATTATGTGGGGTATATGTCAGTTATTGAAAGCCAGAAATCTCCAGGTTTGACGATGAGGCTGGACCTAGACTTGATGAAGCTCTCTGCTGCCCCTTTCAAAGTTCCACAACCTTCCTCAGTCCTTTGACTTGGCATACCCTCAGGGACCACAGCCATCTGAGCCCCACTCATTTGCCAAAATATCTCTTTCCATTCAATCACATTTCCCTAGCATCAAGTTTGGGACCATAGGTGAACAAGGAAGATAGGGCCTCTAACCTCAAGGAGCTCCGAGGAGACAGTGAATCAGAAGCAAGCCTGCTGGGAGCAGGATCACTTTCTGGTAAGGGGATGAGGTTTAACTCCAGTTTTACCCCTTCCTGTAAGGCCTTGACTTCACTGGGCATTGGATAATGATCAGTTCCTCTCCCCAGTTTTCCTTAGTGCAATCAGACACTCTACACTTTTAAATATCCCTTAAAGAATAGCCGAGATACTCGGGCGATGGTGGTGCACGCCTTTAATCCCAGCACTCGGGAGGCTGAGGCAGGTGGATCTCTGTGAGTTCGAGGCCAGCGTGGTCTACAGAGTTCCAGGACAGGCTCCAAAACAGTAAGAGAAATCCTGTCCCAAAGAAAAACAAACAAACAAAAAAGAATAATAGAGAGGTAGAGCAGTGGTAGAGCACTTGCCTAGCAAACTCAAGGCCCTGGTTTCAGTCCTCAGCTCTGAAAAAAAAAAAAAGACAAAAAAAGGAATAGCAGAGTCAGGGCATGGTGGCAAATGCCTTTAATTCCGACAAAATTAAAAAAAGGAATAGCAGAGTCAGGGCATGGTGGCAAATGCCTTTAATTCCAGCACTAGAGAGGTATCTGAATTTGAAACCAGTCTACATAGTTCTAGGCTAGTTAGAGCTATCTAGTGAAACCCTGTCCCATAAAACAAAAATGAGACCTAGGAATTCTGTTGCTTTCTCTAGAGCTACCCTGGATAGCTAGGCAAGTAATAAAACAATAACATGGTCTGTTATGTGCTAACTATTTTACAGCTTTGCTTGAATTGATTTGCGGGATAAACATTATTTTACACAAGATGGAACTGTTCCTTAGGTTAAATGATTATCCAGCCACACAGCTAGAAAGTGCAATCAGGATTTGAACTTCAGTATCTGTTCACACATGCAGTGTCTAGTATCATTCAAATAAAGGTCACATGCCACAGGCTAACCCTTTGGACTTTCTCCCAAAAGAATGTAAAATAAGACACTGCTATCAGCTTTTATTTTTCAATGAGACAATGGTTGGCTTGTTTGGGCAAGGAAGGTTGTAGCGGTTGGTTGGCAAGCTTTATAAAACTCCATCTTATCTGTTTACTCTTAGTATAACAAAATACCTGAAACTGCATAGCATATATAGGAACAAATCTCTTTTGGCTCAGAGTTCTGGAGGTTCAGAGCATGGCAGCAGCCTCTGCTTAGTTTCTGGTGAGGGCCTCATGGCAGAAGGACAAGCAGATGAAGACAAAAGAGGAAGAAACAAAACAACATGGCACACTCACAAATTAATTCAGTCCCCAAGAACAAGAACACACACCCAGCCCAGTCACTTCTCACAGGCCCCACCTATCTCCTTCAACACAGTTGTATTATATTATAGACCAAACTTCAACACAAGGTTTGGAGGGAACAAACAATGTGAAAAACACAGCAGTTTACATTTGAAACGGGCTGTTTGTGTAGCATCCCACTTTTCACCAGTAAAGCTCTGTCAAGCAAAGCTGTAATTAGGTTTCTGCTGCTAAGCAGCAATAAATAATTAAACTAGACTCAAGGCCATCTAAGACAGGTGTCCTCTGGCTCCCAGGCCTAGAAAGTACTCACTATTCTATCACCTTCCTGTAGCTCTAGCCTTGGGTCATACCTCTGCAAGGAATATCCTTTATCCTGCCCTTGGTTGAAGGCGAGGATTTAATGACTTCACTAGACCCAAGATAAAATGATAAATGGGTGTTTATTGGGGAACACTTATACAGAAAAATACAAACAACGGCATGAGTGTTTCTCCGCCCTTCCTATGGGATCAGCTGACCCACCAGAAAGAGCATGCAAACAGAAGCCATGACTGAAACTTCTTTCCTTCTGCTTCTGGCTGCCTGAAGCCACACCCAAATGGGTGTGGCCACTGTTACTGGTTCACAGACAAGATGCCTACACTTGGTTGCTCTAGAAAATTCAGATGTGTCTTGATGGGCATCTCCAGTGCTCCCTGACCCTTAGGCATGGCCTCTTTTATATGCTCTGAATTCAACAAAGGCATAACTCTGAATTCAGAAATAACTGGGTCCAGGGAATAATGGAACCCTTGAGCACTAGGAGAGGGTTCTTCTGTCTGACTTGGGACAGAGGCTCTGGGACTCCTTGATTCAAACGCCTACAGTGTCAGCTATACCCATGAGACAAGCTGTCTCATGGGTCTCCAGTGTTCTCTAATGAGGCTCCTTATATAACATGCATTTGGTTTGCTGCCCAATCTGTGGCCTACTTCTTGTGATTCTGGAGTGTGTCGTTGGCAAATGTGACTTGCTGCAATGCTGTCACGCTAAGGTCTGGAGCAGGAGTAGAAATAGTCACCTGAACGGGAGTGGCAATGCATCTGAGTGTACAGCAGCTGACCGTCAGTGTTCAGGAGTTCAAAGCTGGCTTTGTCTCCTACCGGCTACATACTTTGAAACTGACCTTAGAGCCCTACTTCCCTCCCCTGTGAGGTCAAGTTTCCTAGATGGAGCTTTAGGAACAGTGAGTGAGATAATCTACCTAGCAGTGGGCTGGTTTGTAGAAGCTCCCTCAAAATGCCCCATCTGCTTTTTGATGGGCTTGATTGTTTGGTTTTGAGTTTTGTTTTGTTGGTTTTTCGAGACAGGGTTTCTCTGTGTAGCTTTGGAGCCTATCCTGGCACTTGCTCTGGAGACCAGGCTGGCCTCAAACTCACAGAGATCTACCTGCCTCTGCCTCCCGAGTGCTGGGATTAAAGGCGTGCGCCACCAACGCCCGGCGAGTTTTGGTTTTTGAAGAAAGTTTGTTGTTTTTTTCCGTTTTTTTTTTTTCCTTGGCTATCCTGGAACTCGAATTGTAGACCAAGCTGGCCTTGAACTCACGGACATCTGCCTGCCTCTGCCTCCTGAGTGCTGGGATTAAAGGTGTGTGCCACCATGCCTGGCTTTTTCTACATTTCCAGAGAACCATGGTTCTGCTCCCAGCACGCACATGGCAGTTCACATCATCTGTAACAATAATTCCAGAGGCTCTAATTCTCTCTTCTAACTTTCCACCAGCACATAGACACACACATACATACATACATACATACATACATACATACATGGTAAACATTCATAAAGTAAATAAATCTTTAAAAAATAAAATAAAAGGTCTGGTGGGATGGCACATGCCTGTTAATTCCAGCACCAGGGAGACAGAGAAACTCCCTGAGTTCAAGGCCACCTTGTCTACACAGTGAGCCTGTGCATATATACATTGAATACACAAAATGTCAAGGACCTGGCACCTGGTGGCATTAGAGGACACCACACCCACACCCACCCCCACACACACACACAGACACACACACACACACACACACACCAATGCAGTCCACACTAACATTCGTGATGCCAGGGCTGGGTGGAAGTGAAGGGCAGACACTGCGAGCGTAGTGGGCGATGGCAGAGCACCATGCACGGTGCTGCCTTTTTGCAGCCTGGGACTCGGGAGGCGAGAGCTCTGATTTCTGACTTTGCTGTCCCTCCCATGCAGCTGGCAGGAGCTTGTGGACAGAAGGTGGATGGGGAATCAGGTTCGAGGGGAATTATGCTGGGAATAATTCACCACAGCCAGAGGCTCCTAAGGAGAAACACAGGCTGCTAGCCAGCCAACCAGCTTCAGGCCTCCAGGCGCTCCCCCCTGTCTTGCAATGGCTCAAGACAGGGGAGAGGCATGGATGGAGATGCCACCCAGCTCCTACTCCTTGGAACCCCGGGACTTGATTCCCACCTGCACCATGGAGGTGTGGGCCCTAGAGTGAAGAGGAGGAAAGTTCAAGAACAGCCCCAGTGCTGGAGAGGTTACTTCTCTGGAGGCTTTGGTTAGCTCAGCCTAAAAGAGATGTTACTGAAAATAGTTGGAATTGGTTGGGCCTTTAATTTCATCACTTGAGAGGCAGAAACAGAAGGATGTCTGAGTTCAAGATCAGCCTGGTCTATATAGGGAGTTATAAGGTTACATAGCAAAACCCTGTCTCGAAATAAATAAGTAAATAATTTAAAAACTAATAATAATTAGAGCAGGCTGGAGAGATGATTCAGTAGCAAAGACCTCTGACTGCTCTCCCAGAGGACCTGGGATAGATTCCCAGCACCTGCCTGGTGCCTCACAAAGGTCTAAGCTCTAGTTCCAGGGAACCTGATGCCCCCTTTTGGCCTCTACTGGCATCAGGAAAACACATTGTGCACAAACACACACAGGCTAAACATCCATACACATTAAATTAAAAATTGGAACTTAAATCATAACGAAGAAACCAAAGGAGATTCAGATAAAAGATGGAGTGAATATAGTGTAGAAGATGAAGATTCTGAACCCTCAAAAAAGTTAAATTGGAGATCTGAAATTGTTGCTGGTTCTTCAAGACATATGTAAATTGAAACAAGACTAACAGTTTTAAAACTTTGGAAGTCCTCCAAATTGGATTTAACATGTTGAGCAAGAATAAGAGGTGGAGTCTGGTGGTGGTGGCTCACTCCTTTAATCCCAGTACTACGGAGGCAGAGGCAGGTGGATCTCTGTGAGTTCAAGGCCAGCCTGGACTACAGAGTGAGTTCCAGACAGCAGGGCTGTTACACAGAGAAATACTGTCTTGTGTGTGACAGTTTTCACTGGGGCAACAGTTAGGTCATCACCTGTCACCAGGTGCCTTTCAACTATAAGCTATTCGACAAATGCACCCCTTAAAAGTGCCCATCAGAGCA